GGAGTAGCCTTTCCCACTTGCTTTCTTGGACTGACAACTTGAGGTGAGTCAAACAAGGGGGTTCAACAAGGATGGCTTATAGTAACACTTCAGGAGTGAGGTTGATAATCTTCTCTCTCCCTCTCTTTTCTGCCAAGTGAGGTGGTTGACAGGCCTTCTCCTGGTATTTGAGCCAAGTCCAAACTGAGGGTTTTTTCTCTTCTCTTTCCCAAAACACCATTCTTCTCTTTCTTCCTTCTGACCTCTTTCTCTTTCCCCCCAAAAAGAGGGTTTTTGATTCACAGCTTGTGTTATGTTTGAAATCACAGTCAGTGCTCACACACTGGCTGCGGATTGATTCGGGAGTTCACTGTTCAAACTGGATGCAATGTGATTCACATTCTAACCCACAGTTGCCCCATTTGGTAGTTCACTGTTCATACTGGATGCGATACGATTTGCATTCCAGTCCATAACCCCCTTTCTTTCCTTCCTTCCTTCCTTCCTTCCTTCCTCTGATCCCACCTCTGTTGTTCATTCTTTCTTCCAATCTTTCCTCTGCCAATCTCAAAATACTTCACCCATTTTATATGCAGAGTGAAATCTCAGTTGCATGAATTATTTTACCCTCCAACACTGAAATTTGTGTGGATTTTTTGCACACTTTTACCCAGTGACTGAAATCCTGTTGCTTAGGGTAGTTCGTCACAATTTAAATTAATTAATGAATTAATGGAATTTACAGAGGAGTTGATTCACCACATCCCCACTGATTCAATGGCCTTACTCTAGCTGCAATGTACTAACCACGCTTAACAACAGGATTTCAGCCATTGTGTGCATACTTTTAGATACAATATGTGCGTTTTTGAAACTTAAATGCAGCTCTGTCTATATCCCTCCCACAATGCACTTCAGGCTCCAGACATGGAAGGCTTTATGAAGCAAGCTTCTACTTTGTTCTGGTGCCAGTCTCCAGGGAGACAAAATCAGGATTTCCATACTGAAATGTGAAAATTCATTCCTATTCCAAGCTTTCATGCAGAGATATTTTCAAGAGCATGCAAGGTCTGCAAGCTATGATAAGTGTCTGTGCAAAGCTTGACTCAGTTTTCTTCCATTCTAAACAACTTCCGCAGCAAATTGCAGCGTATAAAACTGGCAATGCATGCAGGAAAAGGCCTATATCTTGTCACCTTTGTTCTTGAGTTCTGCTTCAAATGCTCACTGGCATGCACAATAAAGAATGAGCCAAAAAGCACTGGAAAACCCCATGTGTGGGGTTGAGGCACTCACAGGGCAGCCTGCCTGGAAGGAGATGTGCAGATTTCAGGAACACTTTGATGTAAAGCCTACTGCCAATGCAGAACTCAAGTTCTGCTTCGGGTTTCAGTAGGCCCGGGGAAAGTAGCCCAGTTTGCTCTTTTGCTTTAACAGCAGGGTTGTCTACAGACACCTCCAGGGGAAACTATTCATCACATAGAGTAGCCTCTTGCAACCGCTGGGCTTGCTAGGTGGGAATGATAGTAATTCTGCTCAGACATACTTGAAAGGCATTCACCTTGTCACCTGCTAATGTCAGCAGAGCACAGCTGCTGTTAGAGGCACCTGAGCACTTTCTTCTCCCTTTAAATTTGTCAACCTGGTTCTGAGATTGCTTGGCCATCTAGTGCTGTGTTGACTTCACCAGTGACTTCCACTCCATGCCAATCTTGGAAAATGCCCCATGCATCACCTTTTCTTCATGGATAGGCCCCGAAGCCTTTAACAATGGCATGGCAGGCAGATGTCTGACAACCAACTTTCCACAGCACTTCATACTGTCCCCATATGGCTGGCTCTAACTTCAGAGTATGGGTGGAAAGGAGAAATATATTGCGATTGCAGATATTATTGTGATGGCTCTGCTCCTGGGTGCGAAGGACTACAACAGGTTCTGTGATCAGAAGTTAAACTGTTTGTACAGCCTAATTCGACATGCATAACTCAGAGCTTTAGGTATCTGGCTATGGAGCGAGAAGTCGGGAGTTTGATTCCCCACTGTGCTTCTTGCAAGTACAGCCAGACTGTGTTGCCTTGGACAAGCTGCACAGTTCTAGGGTGCCTTCAAAGGAAGGAAGTGGCAAGTCACTTCTCTACCTGGAAAACCTCAAAAAAGGGTTGCCATAAGTCAGAACTGACTTGACAGCACATGATCATTTAATTATTATTTACATAATTTAATAAGGATTCAGTGGGAATTATTCTCTAGGGAGTTTGTATAGGGCTGCAGCTATAAGAAAACTCAATGAGAGGACTCCAGTTCCACAGCATCTACCTGATCACTGAAATATGCATATATTTCTCTGCAACCCTGCTTTCTTATTTTCACATATTCATTATTTTTATATTCCTTGCTTTCCTGCCAGATAAGTTCTAAAGGAAGCTGTCAATGGAGAGAGAGAGAGAAGCATTTATTAAAGAAAACATACAGACATTACTCCAAATACAGTAGTTCAATTCCCCCTTATTGTGGCTGGCACAATGCTGCTTCCCCCAAGCAGAATTCTGATGAAATATAAATTTGTAATTCTTGTCACACTGCACCCTGTAGTCATAAATATATTCCTAATGTCAAGAGTCACACTAACATTGTGAGTGAATTCTGTGAGACAGGGAAAGGGGTGTGGCACTCAAAAAAATAAAAAAAAGGGAACACTGACAAGATTTGTGGGCAAGTTTAGTACCAAAACAGCAACTGGTACATCACTTACACATAAACAGGAACAATGCGCTTAGTACAAGAGATACATGTTAGAGGATATGTACACACATACTGTTGCAGGCAACGCAGATATTTAAGACTGAAATCTCTTTCAAAGGTTGTAATTTGACACATATTTACTTGGGGAAAAGACCTGTTAGACTTTGTGGGACATAACTGTGGGTAAACATGAAGAAATCTTGTTGCATACAGTAGATACTTCAGCTTGGAAGCCACAGAACCAACATTAAGGTCTCCCTTCTCTAAATCGCTCGCAGTATGCCCTTCAGAAAAACCTCTCAGATCACAAATGTCACCACTGCAAAAAGACAATGCGGTCCAAAGCATGGGTAGCCAGATGCAAGTCTCACTGAATTCAATGGTGCTTACTCATAAGTAAGTTTCTTGGGGATGGAGTTACATATATCTTAGCCATCTTAGCTTTCAGATAAGACCTACTCTATATAGGGTGCCATGCTAAGGCCCAGCCTTACAAGATCAGGACAAAACAAGAGCTGCAGATCGCTTTGTAAACTGACAAGCAGTGCAAAGTAAACAACACTTATGCAAGACTGGGGCTGATAGCTTACTTTGCTTTCTGTTTTATTAAAGTATCTCTGACATTCCAACTTTCATCTTTCCCTTCATCCACTGAGTTGGAGCAAATGGCATAGGAATTGCCATAATTTACTGCACAATTTTCTGTATTTTGCTATATTCAATGGGATATTGCCCTGTGATGGTTGGATAGCTCAGTGAGCTAGGTATCTGGGAGCCTGATTCCCCATCATGCCTCCAGGGAACCAGCCTGCGTGGCCTTGCGCAAGCTGCACGCACAGTCCCAGGATGTGCCCCCAGAAGAAGAGAACGGTGAAGCACTCCTGAGCCCTCTCTACCTGGAAAACCCTAAAAAGGACGGCCATATGTCTGAATTGACTTGAAGGCACATGATGATGATTATTAAATAAATGTGTACAGAGAAACTGTGATTATGTGTGCGCGCGCACATGGCCTGTGCACATTCTTCCTTTGAAGAACTGGGGCATTACATCCAGTCCACAGTTGCCCCAGTTGTAACCCTCGAACAGCAACCACGGCTTCCTGCGCCTCGCCTGACTTCCATCTAGGAAAGGCGTCCCTGGCGAAATCCATCTTGCCGAGAACTTTTGGGCTTTACATCTAAGAGTAACTTAATCTATGATTAATAATTAATAATAATTAATGATTAGTAATCTATGACGATTTTAAGTGGTTTATCAAAGTGTCGCCTATCGCCTGTGTGATTCTACAGATTTCTGAACCTAGATTCTCCGCGCCCCCCCCCCCCGGATCCACCTACTGTACCACATTTCCATTGACCAGGCTTCTGCGGGCTTCCCACACAGTGAACAACAAGCCTAGATGTCACCGTTTTTTGGCACACATTGCCACTGACCAGGCTTCCGCGGGCTTCCCACACAGTGAACGTCTCAAGCCTAGATGTCACCGTTTTTTGGCACCCGTGCGCCCATCCTCGCAGTCTCTCCCTTTGGTGGTTTGGGTGTGTGTGTGTGGTTTCTTCCCCCTGAACAGACACGGGGAGCTGGAGGGCGAGGGGGCCAAAAGGTGCCCGCGAGGCCCTTGGCCTGCCTGAAGCGAGCCGCTCCAGGGGGCAAGACACGCGGGGCCCGAGGGTCCACGCGCGAAAGGCAGAGCGCCCCCTTCGGGCTGCCACGGGCACCCTCCCCTCCTCTCCGCGGGGCCGCGGCGCCCCTCCACAACTTGCCCGCAACTTCCTGCTCGCCCTCGGGCTGGGGTGGGTGCGCGAGCGCGCGCGCGCGGGGAACGAGACCAAGAGTGTGCCCGGGTGTGGGAGGTTTTATCTCCTGTCTTTCCAGATCTCTCACAATCACAAACCCACAAAATTTGGACAGGGTCCCTTTGCTCTGGACAAAAGGGGACATTTAGTTCCAGGAGCACCATTGCTTGGTTATGGCTATCTTAGTCCTAGTCAACTCCTTACATGATGTTTGTGAATAATCAACCATTGAATTGGCATATATTTGCATGTAAGGAGTAAAGAACTGCTGTGAATTGATTTGTTCAACTAGAGAACTGCTTCCACTGATTGGATTTGTTCTTTTTATTTTAGCGTTGTTATTGTTTGATCTGTTGTTATTTCTGTTTGATTTTATTGATTGTTAACCACCCAGAATAGTACCTTGCACTAGTGGGGCAGTGTAAAAATCTTCGAACGAACGAACGAACGAACGAACGAACGAACGAGCGAACGCGCGAGCGAGCGAGTGAGCGAGCGAGCCAGCAAAGAAGGAAGGGAGGAAGGCGGAGCTGGTCGCCTCCTTCGCCGCCAGCGAGGAGCCTTCTTCCCCCGTCCAGTTCCGTCCAGTCCCGCCCGGGGGTCGGTCCTGCGAAGGCGCGCCAGGCGGACGAGGAGCGCCGCGCCAGGGAGTCAGTCCGGTAAGAGGAGGCGGCGTCCGCGGCGTCGGGCTGGACTCGGGCCGGCAGGCAGGCAGAAGGAGAAAGAGAGAGCCCCGCTCGGGACGGCGCTCCTGGCTTTCTCCATGCGGGTGTGTGTGTGTGTGGGGGGGGGTCTCTGGGGGGGGGTCGGTTTGTTTCCCTCCCTGCCCGGCCACCCCTCGCGCTTGGGGGCAGGATGGCTTCACTCCCCGAAGTTGACTCGAGCGGCCCCCCCTCCCCGGACGCGGACTTTGCCGGGGACTTTGCTCCAGGAAGAGAGAAAGAACGAGGGAAAAGGGAAGGGGCGAGCGAGCGAACGTGCGAACGCG